GACCACATAAATAAAAGGAAACAAAAGTCACATGATCATCTCAATTGACACAGAAAAGGCCTTCAACAAAGTCCAACTTCTATTCCTGATAAAAACTCTCAATAAAATAGGTATAGAAAGGAGATTTCTCAACATAATAAAGGGCATCTGTGCAAAACCAATGGCCAACATCATTCTTAATCGACAGAAGCTAAAAACATCCCCCTTGAGAACAGGAACAAGACAAGGATGCCCTTTATCACAACTCCTATTTAACAACGTGCTGGAAGTCCTCACTAGGGCAATACGGCGAGAAAAAGAAATAATAGGTATTCAAATTGGTAATGAAGAAGTTAAACTGTCGCTATTTGCAGATGATGTGACACTATACATGGAAAACCCGAAAGACTCCACGAAAAACTACTGGAACTAATAGGAAGATTCAGAAGAATAGCAGGATACAAGATAAACATACAAAAATCAGTTGGATTCCTATACACCAATAAAGAGAACGATGAAAAGGAAATCAGGAAAGCAAGACCATTTACAATAGCCCCTAAAAAAATAAAATACTTAGGAATAAATCTAACCAGGGATGTAAAAGACCTAAACACTACTGCAAGAAACCCAAAGGGATCTACATAAATGGAAAAACATACCACGCTCATGGATAGGTAGACTCAACATTGTGAAAATGACAATTCTACCCAAAGTGATTTACAAACACAATGCAATCCCAACCCAAATACCAACAGCGTTATTTAATGAGATGGAAAAACTTATCATTAACTTTATTTGGAAAGGAAAGAGGACCAGGTAAGTAAAGCATTATTAAAGGAGAATAAAGTAGGAGGACTCTCACTACCTGACCTCAGAAACTTCTATACAGCTATGGTAGTCAAAATAGCCTAATACTGGTACAACAACAGACACATTGACCAACAGAACAGAATCGAGAACCCAGATATAAATTCATCCATCTACAGTCACCTGATCTTCAACAAAGGCCCAAAGTCCATCATATGGGGAAAAGACAGTCTTTTTAACAAATGGTGCTGGCAAAACTGAATGTCCATCTGTAAAAAAATGAAACAGAACCCATACTTCACACCACTCACAAAAACTAATTCAAAATGGATCAAAGACCTAAAGATAAAACCAAAAACTATAAAGATCAGAGGAGACAGAATAGGGTCAACGTTGGAGGTCCTAATACACAGCATAAATAGGATACAAACCATAAGGAACAATACACAAACACTAGAAGATAAGCTAGATAACTGGAATCTTCTAAAAATTAAATACTTATGCTCATCAAAAGACTTCACCAAAGGAGTAAAAAGAAAACCTACAGACTGTGAAAAAAAAATTGAGTATGACAAATCCAACAAAGGTTTAATCTCTAAAATCTATAGGAAAATCCAACACCTCTACAACAAAAAGACAAATAATCCAATTAAAGAATGGACAAAGGATATAAACACACACTTACCAAAGAAGACACTCAACCAACCAACAGACACATGAGGAAATGCTCACGATCACTAGCCATTAGAGAAATGCAAATTAAAACCACAATGAGATACCATCTCATGCTGGCATTACTGGCACAAATCAAAAATACTGTAAATAACAAATGTTGGAGAGGCTGTGGGGAGATTGGAACTCTTATGTACTGCTGGTGGGAATGCAAAATGGTACAACCATTTCAGAAAACAATATGGCAATTCCTTAAAAAGCTAAAAATAGAAATACCATACAATCCAGCTACCCAACTCCTAAGAATATATCCTAGAGAAATAAGAGCCGTCACATGAATAGACACATGTACACACATGTTCCTTGCAGCATTATTCACAACAGAAAAAAGATGGAACCAAACTAAGTGTCCATCAACTGAAGAATGGATAAACAAACTATGGTACATACATACAATAGAATGACAATAGATAAGTGGTAACTTTGGTCAAGGGTAAGACAGTACAAAATACTGGAGAAGTCAGCACAACTTGACCAAGGCGAAGTCACAGAAGTCTCATAGACACATCCAAACTCCCTAACGGACTGAATTACTGGGCTGAGGGCCAGGGACCATGGTCTTGGGGGACATCTAGCTCACCTGCCATAACATAATATAAAGCCCACACACATCTATCAGTTTGTCATACTATTTTTGTCGTGTGTGTTGCTGTGATGCTGGAAGCTATGCCACCAGTATTCATATATCAGCAGGGTCACATACAGCAGACAGGTTTCAGCTGAGCTTCCAGATTAAGACTGACTAGGAAGAAGGACCCGACAGTCTACTTCTGAAAAGAATTAGCCAGTGAAAACCTTATGAATGGCAGGTGAGCACTGTCTGATATAGTGCGAGAAGATGAGCCTCTCAGATTGGAAGGCACTCAAAAGACCACTGGGGAAGAGCTGCCTCCTCAAAATAGAGTCGACCTTAATAATGTGGATGGAGTCAAGCTTTTGGGACCTTCATTTGCTGATGTGTACGACTCAAAATGAGAAGAAAAAGCCGCAAAATTCCATTAATAATGTGAATGTGGAACATATGAAGTATCAATCTAGGAAAGTGGGAAATCATCAAAAATATAATGGAATCCATAAACGTCAATATCTTAGGCATTAGTGAGCTGAAATGGACTGGTACTGGCCGTTTTGAATTGGACAATCATATGGTCTACTATGCCAAGAATGACAACTTGAAGAGGAATGGCATTGCATTCATCACCAAAAAGAACATTTCAAGATCTATCCTGAAGTACAACGCTGTCAGTAATAGGATAATACCCATATGACTACAAGGAAGACTAGTTAATAAGACTATTATTCAAATTTACGCTCCAACCACTAAGGCTAAAGATGAAAAACTTGAAGATTTTTACCAACTTCTGCAGTCTGAAATTGACCGAACATGCAATAAGGATGCATTGATAATTACCGGTGATGGAATGCAACAGTTGGAAACAAAGAAGGATCGGTAGTTGGAAAATACGGCCTTGGTGATAGAAATGATGCTGGAGATTGCATGATAGAATTTTGTAAGACCAACAACTTCTTCATTGCAAACACTTTTTTTCACCAACATAACTGGCGACTACACATGTGGACCTCACCAGATAGAATACACCGGAATCAAATCAACTACATCTGTGGAAAGAGACGATGGGAAAGCTCAATATCATCAGTCAGAACAAGGCCAGGGGCTGACTGCGGGATAGACCATCAACTGCTCATACCCACGTTCAAGATGAAACTGAAGAAAATTGAACAAGCCCACAAGAGCCAAAGTACGACCTTGAGTATATCCTACCTGAATTTAGAGACCAACCCAACACCCGATTTGATGCATTGAACACTAATGACCAAAGACCAGACTAATTGTGGAATCTGTGACATCACACATTAAGAAAGCAAGAGGCCATTAAAACGACAGGAAAGAAAAGACCAAAATGGATGTCAGAATAGGCTCTGAGTCTATGAGTTGGAGACTACTCAGCAGCAGCTAACAACAACATCCAACATTAAAAAAAAGGGGGGGGGGGCTAGATATACTTCACCATAGCAATTCTACTTCTAAGATTTTTTTTTATAGAAAGTGCACAAAGATAGTCTTTAGGACCCTGTAGCATTATTCATATTAGCAAACAACTAGAAAAAATTTAAAAGTTCACCAATAAGGGACCACATAGACTAACTGCTGTAATAACCAAATGTCAGTGATTTAAGGCGGTACAAGGGGGGCAGTGTCCAATCCGGTGGTAGATGGGCAGCCTTCCGCATAGTGACTCAGTAGGGTGACCACAAGCTCCTATTTGCCCAGTCCCTGTTGACGCTTGGTGTCCCTGCATCCCATCCGGTTGACACTCAACACTCTCAAAGTATCCCTGTCCTGGCAGTAAATTACACGGATACCCTCAATCAAGAACCCAGACTTCTCTCACCAACAGTTCTCCCAGAGCCCTGACCCTAAGGCCTGGGAGGGACATACCCACATTCCACTGGCCAGGCTCCGTAGTCCTGGCGGCCTTAACTAAACAGGGCCAAAGTCAACGGACAAATCTGGAAACGGAGGAGCCTGAAACTCTGGTTGCTTCTAGGAAGAAATCAGAAAGGGGGTAAAGAATAGGAGATACTTGATTGCACTGCCCACCCCTTTACAATGGTTGCATTTTCTATCAGGTATTACCTTAAAAATAGGGGTGTGGGATTTAAATGTAGGGAGACTCGGGAAATTCCACAGACCATCAAGAGCGTGAGACGACGGTAATTCCTGCGCTAGGAGGGCCCTGCAATGCCAAGAGTAAATTAATTAAGCGAATGTCCATAAACTGGGCCTGCAGCTGTACAACAAGCCCTGTTCCTGGCCAGAGCGTACTACAACACCAGCTAAGACCATAATGGCCACGGGCCATCGCGCCTGCGCAGCGGGGTCCGCGAGAACCCGCCCCCCCCAGCCCCCCCTACCGCGCCTGCGCAGCTGGGCCCGCAACGCCCCGCCCTGCCCGCGAGGCGACGAGCACGTGGGCGGGGCCCTGCTCAGGAAGGATTCAGCCGGGGTGACAGCCGGTGGCGGAAGACCGCGGGGAACCGGGCCGAGGAGGCCCGGCAGGGTAAGTGGCCGGCTGGGGACACGTGCGGGGCGGTGGGGTCTGCCTGAGCCGAGCTTACTGCCTGCACTTGGGCCTCCAGCTCACGTCCGGGACCCGGTGCACCCTAGAGGAGGGGCCGGAGCTGTGAGACGCCCGTTTGTCCTCCCTGGACGTCTGAACCGAGACTCGGCCGGCCCTTGGGGGTGCAGGGGAGGGCGCGTGCCGTGCTCTGGGCAAAAAGGTGGGCCAGACAGCAGGGGTCTCCACTGCCAGGGACCCAGGGCCCTGCTGCGACCATTCATTCTGCCGGCTTCCCCGTCCCAGCCCTGTGCAGGGTGCTAGGGCACGGTGGGGGCAGGGCAGATAGGCCACTGCCCTGCTCTCACAGCCCCGCCGGCATCCCGGAAGTAGGTAAGACCAAGGCGTTCAGAACTGACTGAGCGTGCGGGGACTGGCATGGGGTGGTGACCAGGAGAGGAGCTAGTGATGTGGGAGGGGTGGTCTCCCTGAGCGAAGGCCCACCACGAGTGCTCTGCTGAGGGAGGGAGAGGCTTGGAGCGGTCCTGAGTGGACTGAGCTGGATACCAGGCTAGACTCCGTTCAGCAGAAAGCAAGAAACAGCCAGGAGAGTATGGCAGAGGAGGGAGAGAAGGGCCGGGGCCAGGGATGGAAAAAGGGTTTTACTTTAAGTGCACCTAAAGGCCGTTGGAGTGGAAGGGGGTGTGTGTGTGTGTGTGTGGCTAAGTTGCTTGGTAGGCCCCCGTGGACATAGCCCCCACTCTGGATGCCCACCCCAAGGAATCAGTCACCTGGAGGTGCGGGGCCGTCCCAGGCGTCTCTCTAGGCTCCTGTATTCCAGGATCCTGTCACATCTGCTGTGTACGATACAGGAGGGGCGTGCAGCCCCAGCCCAGCTGTGGGGTCTGGAGCATCCAGGTAGGAGGTTCCTTGGGGGAGAGGTAGAAGGTGATTCAAGGGCTCACATACCCACTGTGCAGGAGCCATGAGGTGTTGGGGTCTGTCTGAGGGTGGGTTTTCCTGCTGCTGTTACCATTGTAGCATCCTCGTACAGATCCAGAGATTGTTTGTCCTCCTCCTGCCCTCATGATGTCAGTTGCCTGCTATCTCGTAAAACATCAGAGAGGTGGACAACCGTCTGTGTAAAGAAGCCTGGAAGTGCCTCCTCTTGGGCATCCTGTGAAAAGGCTTACAAACAACAGGTGAGGCTGAAAGAGCCAACCACAACAGAGCAGAGCTTTCCTGGCGTATCACTAATGAATTGTGTGGTTAGTTTGCCAAGAGGGGAGGAAAGCCAGTTTAGACCTCCCAGGAGAGTGAGTAGTACTTAGTCTTTAATGTGCTTTATTCTTAGATATGTTTTCAGTATGTGGGTTTTCAGTGTGTGGCTGGGCCTCTGGCAAGGTTTCTTCCTCGGTGCCATCAGCCTGAGCGTCCAGCCTGAGGGCGTCCAGGTGTGGCTGCAGGATGGGACACCAGGGAGAGGGGCTGCAGAAGGCCTGGACTTCATGCTCCTGTCTCGAGGGCCACTCTCATTCCATTCCTCCTCTGCCCAGAAAGCCTTGAGGGGGGCGTTCAGGCCCCTCCACCCCAGGGAGGCCCACCTGCACTTCCAGCCCCGGCCCCCCTACCCCTCAATGAGCCCTACAGGACTCAGCACCTGTTTGCACCGTGTAGCTGGGCCCTCTTCTGCACTCCTGCATGGCGCCATCCTGCTTCCAAGTGGACATGACCTCCTGCTACCTCTGTAAGGCCAATGTTAATTACAGGTCTCTGGGTACACTGCTCTAAACACATCATACCTCTCACTACCAGTAAACCTCAGACGTGGAGAGGGGCTTTCTTTGAATAGCCCACATCATAGACTGACCCCTACCAGGCTGCAGCAGACCCTGACCCCAAGTCCTGCTCCCAAACCAGTCCGTCCCCGTCTCCTCCCCAAGAACGTCTACTCCACTTACGGTGACTGGTAGAGAGAGTGACAGATGGACAAACGGACACTCTCCAAGGCTGGGGAGCTCTGAGACTCAAGCACTTTGCTTCTCCTCTGGAGTCTCAGGTCTCCACACCGTCCTCTCACTCTGTTGTTAGGTGCCATCCCGTCGACTCTGGCTCATGATGACCTTATATATAACAGAATGAAACATTGCCTGGTCCTGTGCCATCCTCACTGTTATTGGTATGTTTGATTATTTGAACCCATTCTTGCAGCTGCAGTGTCAATCCATCTTACTGAGGGTCTTCCTTTTTATCGCTGACCCTCTGGTTTACCAAACGTGATGTCTTTCTCCAGTAATTGGTCCCTCCTGATAACATGTTGAAAGTAAAAGAGGTGAAGTCTCGCCATACTTGCTTCTAACGAGCATTCTGGATCTACTTCCTCCAAGACCAGTTTGTTTGTTCTTCTGACCAAAATCAAACCAAACCCTTTGCCTTCAAGTGGATTCCAACTCATAGCAACCCTACAGGGCAGAGTAGGGTTTCCAAACAGCGACTGGTGGATTCTAACTGCTGACCTTTTGGTTGGTTGGGAGCCAAGCTGTTAACCACTGCACCACAGTCTTCTGACAGTCCATGGTATATTTTAGTATCTTTGCCAACACCACAATTTGAACACATCAGTTCTTTGGTTCCTTTTTCATTATCTAGCTTTCAAATGCATATAAGGTGATTGAAAATACCATAGCTTTGGTCAGTCAAATGCACCTTGGTCATCAAAGTGACATTTTTGCCTTTTAGCACTTTTAAAGAAGTCTTTTGCACCAGATTTGCCCAGCGCAATATATCGTTTGATTTCTTGACTGCTGCTTCTGTGGGCATTGATTGTTGATCCAAGAAGAATGAAATCCTTGTCAACTTCAATTTCTTTGCCATTTATCATAATGTTTATTGGTCCACTTGTAAGGATTTTTGTTTTCTTTATGCTCAGGTGTAATTCATACTGAAGGCTGTAGTCTTTTACTTTCATCAGGTAGTGAGTGCTTCAGGTTGTCTTCACTTTCAGCAAGCAAGGTTGTGTCATCTGCATAGCTCAGGTTGTTAGTCTTCCTCCAATCCTGATGCCATGTTCTTCTTCATATAGCCCAGTTCTCAGATTATTTGTTCAGCATACAGATTGAATAAGTGTGGTGAAGATACAACCCTGCTGCACCTTTTCTAATTTTCAGCTAGTGTCCCCTTGTTCTGTTCAGACAACTGCCTCTTGATTCATGTACAGGTTCTGCATGAGCACAATTAAGTGTTCTGGAATTCTCATTGTTCCTAATGTTATCCACTAGAAGCTGCTAATAAACCCAAACAAATGCTTTCAGTTTGGGGTATGTTGAACCAAAAATAATGATGCTGAGTTAGTTTATTTTGCTACTTGGATGGGTAGAACTTTTATAGGCTTTGAAAGTACATAGACATCATTTCCTTCTTGGCAGGAACACGCTATATGAATGAAAGCAGTTATCTGGTGTAAAACATCCAAAAACAAGCTACAGGCATCAACAACTAAAAAATACATGTGCAGGTACATATGTATGTATGTACGTAGGCATAGATGTGTATAGGTATGTATATGTGAGTATGTATGTGTGTGTAGGTGAACGCATATGTGTATATATATGTATGTATGTGACTGTATGCACATATATTCATATACATAATAAAGCACATAGGGGCATTGTTACGGATACTTCTTAAGCATAACCAAATACCTCATGGGATTGGATTTCTGGGTTTGAAGACTTAGGACCACAGTCTCATGGGACAACTCGGTCACTTTGGCATAATATAGTTCATAAGTTTATATTCTGCATCCTAGTTTGGTGAGTAGTGTCTAGGGTCTCAAAAACTTGCAAGCGGCCATCTAAAGTACAACTGACCCTGTCTCTACTCATCCGAAGCAAAAGAGAAAGAAAGAAACCAAAGACTCAAAGAAGAAACTAGTCTACAGGGCTAATAGTCTACAAGAAGCATGGCCTCATCTACCCTGAGACCGGAAGAAGTAGCTGGTACCCAGCTACTACTACCAACCAGTTCTGATCAGGGACACAATAGATGGATCCTGATAGAATGGGAGAAAAATGTGGAACAGACTTACTGGACTGGTTGAGACTGAAGGACTCTATGAGACTTTTGCTCTGAAATACTCTTTAAACGTTGGACTGAAACTAACCCGAGGTCACCTCTTAGCTAAATAACAGATTGACTCACGAAGTAAAGAATATCACCTGTGACTACTGTACTTCTTTGAAAACTTATCTATATGAGACCAAACGTTCAACAGTTACTTTAAAACAAAAATGAGACGGTAAGGGGGCAGGGAAACTAGATTAATGGAAATGCAACAACTAGAATGGAAATAATGAGAATGTTGTGAAGAATGTAACCAATATCACTGAACAATTTGTGTAGAAATTGTTAAATGGGAACCGAAATGCTGTGTAAACCTTCAATGAAAATACAATAAAGGTATTATTTAGGGGGAAAAAAAAAAAACAGACTACTTTTCTCAGATCTGCTTTGGGCTCTCTGCAGTTTCCAGAGGGACAAGGTTTAAAACCTCCCAAAAAGTAAACCCCATGTATGAAAGTATACATAAGACTGGAGAGAATGTAGTGGATACACATTTCTGTTATCTGGAAAGGCTTTGAGAGGGACTCATGAGTAGCTGTTTTACACAAGTAGTAACTAACCCAAAAGCCGTGTGTCTGGAACGCCACTTAAGTAAGAGGAGAGAGAACGCCGGCTTTGGAGCCAAGCACAAGGCTTATGCCACACTTGCAAGATGTGAAACCCTGGGCAGGTTATCTGGTCCTCGGTTCCTCTTCTGTAAAATGGGGTCATGCCTTCTGGAATCACTTTGAGGATCAAATAAAGCTCTGATTCCAGGGATAAAAATGCAGTCATTTTCTGGTAGTACATTTTGTTCCTGGACTTTGTGGATTTCTAACTTGCTCTGGAGCCTTGCAGCCTAACATGTTTTTCCTGCCTCTTCTCCTTCTCCACCAGCAGCTGTGGGACAGTCTTCGACACAGAAAGAAATGAGAAAAATACCTAATAATGGGAACCTGAAGATGGCTTACCCCCTGGGGCTGTTTGTGTGCCTGTTCATTTATGTCGCCTACATCAAGTGGCACTGGGCCTCTGCCACCCAGGCCTTCTTCAGCATCACTGAGGCGGCTGCAGGGGCACGCAGGGGCCAGCAAGCCCACAGCCCCACTGGGACAGCAGGGCATGGTCACGAGGTCTTCTACGGGATCATGTTCGACGCGGGGAGCACTGGCACCCGCATACACATCTTCCAGTTTGCCCAGCAGCCCAGAGGTATCCCCGGGCAGAAAGCCTGGCCACGGTCTCTGTGGGCCCCGGCCATGGTCTGTTCTTCCTCCTCCTAAAAGACGGTGGTTTCTTGGGGGGTGGTGTGAACCTCCTGCTGTGGAATCAGCTGGGCACTTGTTACAAACAAAATTTCCCAGAGATGGTGACTCAGAAGGTGTGGGGATGGGACCCAGGAATGTAAGTTTTCTGAGTGCCCTAGGTTGTTTTACCTCACACTAGGGGTCTGGTGACAACCACATAAAGGCAGCTGGGGTCCGAGGAGGTGTTTGGTGGCCTGTCTCCTCCCAGCATGCAGTCAGGCAGATCGGGTGGCTAGGACCATGACTTGGTCCACAGGTCATGTCTGAAGAGTTTGAGGCAGGAAGTAACCCCAGATTTGGACAGATGGAATTGGGCGTTCGGAAAGTAAGATAAGTAGTCAAGACCAGGAGCCTGGGCTGGGAGACTTAGTTGCACATGGGTGTCCAGGCATCAGAGAGGAGGGTGGACAGTGAGCACAGAATCAATACTGGAAGGGCCGTGGGGGCTGAACCGCTGGCCAACTGGATCCCAGATGGGGCCGAGTGCTCTGGCAGGAGCATGGGTGGGCACTGGGCATCAGCCCTAGCCGCTGCCCAGCTCTCAGCACTTGAGCAGGTGCTGCTGTCCTCCCTTCCTCCCTGGGCTTTGTCCCCATCCTCATGGCTGCTCTCATGTCTGGCAGCTCTAAGGTCAGCCCCTCTTTGGCCAGGCATCTTCTGCTCCAGCACTGACCAGCCCTCTGCCCAGCAGGCCCAGTATCCCCCCACCCCGGGCCTTTGCTGACCTTTGCGCCTTTTGAGCAGATGCTATCCTGGGCATTTAACTGAGCTCTAGACAATTAGCAGTTGTCTCTAAAGCTGTTGTAGCATATGTATTTACTTCCAATTTAATCTGCTTTAGTTTTAACTTACTATAATAGTTGAATATTTCAGTGTTGTTCATGCCTCCAAAAATGGATTTGAAGCCAAGCATAAAATAGCACGTATCAGCCTGTAGTGAGATTTACCACTTTTTTATTAACTAATTTGTACACTTAAATAGCTATCGCACTCACATGGCTCAAAACTAAAATACAGAAACGTAGCCAGGGTCAGGCCTCCCCATTACCTGCCCATTCTCTATCCCTACTTTGTGGGTGACCACAATGATTAGTTTCCCGTGTGTCTTTCCAGAGAATTTTTTCATATACAAATAATGTTTTCTCCCTCTCCCCGCTTTTATCCAACTGTACAGCACACTGTACAATTGACTACCTTTTTTGGCTTGAAAATAAATTGTTTATTATTAGGAGAACTCATTAGATGTGGGAGTGTTACATTTCTGGAAAAACGGAAGCATGCCAGTTTTGTTAAGTTTGTCTTTAATTTAAAGTGACTTTAATAGTTTAGCAGCATGAAATTGTATTGCGCACAGCAGCATTGCGTGTTCATAAAATGATTCCAGTGTTTTATCTTTAAAGAAGAATTCTCACAAAAAAGCTTTTTGTCCCTTAGAGTTTTTCTGGCCTGATTTTGCCTTCTTTGTGTGTGTACTAGAGCCAGCATCCTTTGGCTGTGGAATGCCTCTGAACACTTTCCCTTGCTGTGTGCACAGGAACCCAGACTACTCCTAATAATGTAAAACACTCCATTTTTAAAAAATGAAATGAAATAAGAAAAAGCGAACCTTCTTTAGAACCTGTAATACAGCCATCCCAGAATCAAGGACATGATTTTTATGTTTGCTGTTTATAGGTATATACCTGCTCCTCTGTTTGTTCAGTCAACAATAATTAACTGTTAAAATGGAACACTTCAAGTGAATATAGTTTATTGTATGTAAATTCAGAAAAAGTTGATTGGAAAAGAAAAGTGAAGTTCTGGTCGAAACACTTAGGACTACAGAGAAGGCAGAATCCTCCCACTGTGTAACGGAACTGAAAAGGCAGAGTGTAGCAAGGAACAAGGAAGAGGTCCTGTTTACTCATGTAGGGGGATAAAGTAGTAAATGCAGCACTCTGGGATTAGCTCTATGTTGTCAGACATCTGAGTTGAAAAATGTGCTTTTGTACAGAGATGCCTTGAGGGAAAGTTATAGTTGTTCTTTTTTAAAATACGTTCTCTCCTTAGAAACTCCTACCTTGACCCACGAAACCTTCCGAGCGCTCAAGCCAGGTCTTTCTGCGTATGCTGATGATGTTGAAAAGGTAACTCGATTTTCTGAAGTCTATTTATTCATAAAGTTTGTTCTCTAACTGGGTTGTTAAAGCCAGCCCTTCACACAGAAATGCAGTAGACCATCCTCACAGAATCAACTCTGAGTGTACTGACTTGACACTTGTCATGGGGTGGGGGACAGAAGAGGAGCACCACTGCCACCCTACCAGGCTTGCCCGGACACCAAACCCGGTCCAGAAGCATAAATGCTACAAACTGACAAAAAGCATTGGAAAGTTGAGTTAAATTTTTATTGTGGTAAAATATACATAGCACAAAATTTGTGTTTTAACTAGTGACATTATTTACATTGTTAAAAATAATCAGAACTCAGCAAAATTTGAACATAAAGTTTATTCTCAGCAGTTATTCTGTGTGTATATAGGGAGACCATTTTGATTCTAGAAAAAAGCAGATGGCTCAAAGAAGCTAGGTACAGTGAGGCTTATAAAGACAAGAAAACCAAAAAATGAAACCCACTGCCGGACTCATAGCAACCCCATAGGGTTTCCAAGGCTGTAAATCTCTACGGAAGCAGACTACCACATCTTTCTCCTGTGGAGCTACTGGTGATTTCAAACTGCCGACCTATCAGTTACCAGTCGATCACTTTAACCACTGCACCACCAGGACTCCTATAAAGAGAAGAGAAGGGAGAAATATAGATCAACCATTGACTAATCTTAACGTGATTGATTGAACTCTTCTCTCTCCTTTTAATTGAGATCAGTGGGTGTCAGGTAACAAGATGGTCTCTGGCCCTCCACCCAGCCATATCTTTAAATTCAAAATTTAGTAAGTCTGGCTTCAAACAGGAAAGAGAAGATTTGCAACTTTGGGTGAAAGAAAAGCTGCTGGTGGATTAATCTTTGGTCAGGGATTTCTTTAAAGTGAATGTTTGGTTTCGTAAGAAGACCCCAAAATCAAAGCAAGATACCTACTATCAATCTCTCTTTGACATCTCCCCACTCCTGATCATGATTCACTTAGAATCTTTGATCACTAAGCATTGGGCAGGCACCAGTCTAGGTTCCTGTGATCTCATAGGTACTGCCTTGTGGGGTACCCTTTTGTGAAACATACATTATTCTTGTTGGTTCTTTAGCTTCTTTGTTGTTCCTCTAGTCAGAATGAGACCATTTGCTGTACTTTAGATGGCTGCTAGCAAGATTTGTCAATGAGCAGAAGAACTCGCACTCTGTTTGAAATTAAAACAAAGAGTTTATTACAGGAGAAAACAATTTGCAAATTGGGAAACACAGGGTCAAGAGGCTCACAACACAGTGCTCTAGTTTGCTGGAGCTGAGGAGAAATATTTATAGTAACTTCTCAGTGAGATTCTGATTGGTTAACTGTCCTTGGGCTTACTACCCTGACTTCCCTGGGCTTGCCTAGGCCTAGTCACACTCTGGTAAAGATTGTTCTCAGATGCTCCCTGAGCTTCTCCAGACTTGTCTTAGCATAGCCCGGAGTTGGCCAGACTGTCATAGCCACATCACCTGTTCAGCCAATTGTTGAAATTAGCACAAGGGTTATAGCTTTAAAGCAAAGCAGGAGTGTAAAACAAAACTGAGTCGAGCCTACTCCTAGGCCAGCCACACTGGCTATGCCAGGTACCTCTGTATCTGCAACTCTATTCATTCCCTCGTTTTGATCAAGAATTCCTGAGAAACTCTTTGATCACGTTATCAACTGCCGTTTTGGGGAGAGTGCTTTCTTCTGCATGGACTTGGATTTATATTTCCCAGTGGGACGGCATTATCATAATATACTGGAAGAAAGAGAACTTTTTTTTGTTGCTGTCTTTCAGAGGTTGTTATAGATGGCTGCTTAAAAGTAAACCTTAAAGCCCCCTGACACTGTATATAGCCAGGCAGCATCTAAAATCTTCACCATGCTATAGATGGAGCCTCTACTTTTGCGGTGTTAAGCTTGGAATGCCAAATAGAGTATGCCTCATTAAGGGGTGGTTTAAGGAGTGTCATGGATTGAATTCTGTCCCCCAAAAAATGTATGTAGCAACTTGGCTAGGTCTTGATTCCCAGTGTTGCATGATTGTGTAATAGGATGTGATTTCCTTATGTGTTGTAAACTCTATCACTATGATGAGATTATATGTGATCTCCTTATGTGTTGTAAATTCTATCACTATGATGAGGTTATACAAATGAAGTTGACAAGGTTAGATAGTGTCTTAATGCAATCTCTTTTGAGATATAAAAGAGAGAAGCGAGCAGAGACACATGGGAACCTCATACCACCAAGAAAGCAGTGCCGGGAGCAGAGCGCATCCTTTGGACCTGAGGTTCCTTCACAGAGAAGCTCCCAGACCAAGGGAAGATTGATGACATGGACCTTCCTGCAAAGCCAACAGAGAAAGTATTCCCCTGGAGCTGACACCCTGAATTTGGACTTGTAGCCTACTGGACTGTGAAGAAATAAACTTCTCTTTGTTAAAGCCATCCACTTGTGGTATTTCTATTGGAGCAGCACTAGGTGACTAAGACAAGGAGTGACCTGAAGTCCGTCTGAAATATGAGTACTCTTAATGTATGTAATTCGTTTCATAGGCATTAAATAGTATTGGAAGTAATTTTAAGACCACATTTGATAGTTCCAGTAATAATCACAATAGCAATTCATATAATTATTCCTGTAAGTAGATCAGATCCATGAACCAATACCTTTGGATAACCAGCTAAATATATCCAACCAGGAGTCAGAAGTAGAGTTGGCTATGTGAAGCCAAGAGGCCTTTTGGCAAATCTTTTCAATGTCTTATAATAGATCTTTCAAGCTTGGAAATGCCATAGTTGGGTAAGAGGGCTCAGAGGAATACACCTCCCATCCTAAGTTTGTCAGCTATTGGATTATCTTGTGACATAGAGTCTAACAGAACTGATAAACAAATTTGTAGTCAGGAAGGATTTTCATACAGCATTGTCTTAAAGAACGATTAAAATAATTACTGATTTACCCTAAACATAGCTCCCAGTCTGATCTTCAAGTCTGTTTCCTGGGACAAACTGAATTCTCCAAAGGGCAAAACACCCAAAGCAAAACAGTCGTACTAGCTTATCCGGATCATTGTTTGACTCAAGTGGCTTCGGAATCCAGTTTTTTCTCAAGGCTCAAGGTTCAAAAGGATACCCAAGGACAATGACCTGTGTGGGTTACTCCAACTTCCATGAAAGCCAGAAATTTGGATTCCAGGAGAATTACAACTCTTCCATCATTCCCTCCTTTTGATCTTGACCATGCTGTAGAATCTATGATCAAAAATGTCCAATAATTGTAGCCAGGATACCATCTGATCTTTAAGATCCCAGGTACCACACAGCAAAATAGGAGGCACTTTTATGGTCTATAAATTTGCTAACTTTATCAACAAAAGAAAAACAAAACAAAACCTGTTGCTGTCGAGTTGATTCCAACACATGAAGCATTACGTTACCTAAACCCATTTCGGATCTGATTTTTTTTTTTTAATGCAAGAACCAACTATTTCAGTGACACATACCACTAGGCTGATTATATTCTATGGTAAGGATTTTCTCATCTCCTAATTCTTTCTTTTAATGCTTTTAAATATCTTTTCTGATCTCAATTTTACATTCTTCTCATATTTCAGGTCAAAACAAACCCATTAGTTAGCTAATTTAGGAGAAAAGAGGAAAACAGTAGAAAGTGGAATCTTGAAACAGCAATATTCCCACATAAAACTCATAGTAATCCTTTAGTCAACTCAGTTCTGTTATAATTAATTTCAGTTCCATGCAATTCTGGATCAACAGCAGTCTGCAAACCTGTCAGCTTCACCACAAGAGTTCTGGAAGTCTTAATTCAGTCCAACAGTGTCCAAGTTCAAAATACCACAGTCCTTTCCATTAGTCCAAAATAGTCTGTCTTTTGTTGAAAGATTTTGGTCAAGCATTTTCAACAATTCAGCAAAGTAAAAGCTTATTTGCAGATGACAAAGCTTAATATGACCTTGATTAACTTACCATAATAATAATACTTCATCAAAGTGAAAGATTTGATGGGAATTACAAAAGTAATAGAAAGCCAAAAGTCACTTAAAATATATGTCTAAACGTAATGATTAACCTTAGTTTAAAAAGAGCTTCAGATATAACACATAATAATTTTGAAAAGAAATACAATATAGTCAGGATATAACAGGAATATACCAAGATTATCAAGGCTCTAAAAATCTGAAAAGTAAAAAAAAAAACTCTATGGGTAAACGATGTGAATTCCCCAATTAAACCATTGGCGTCGATGATGCTAGAGTCAAAAAAATTAAAGTTGCAACCAAGTTGTTGTTAGGTGCCTCCGAGTCAGTTCCAACTCATAACGACTATATGTACAACAGAATGAAACACTGCACCGTCCTGTGCCATCCTCTCAATCATTGCTATGTTTGAGTCCATTGTTGGAGTCACTGTTATAAGTCCATCTCCTTGAAGGTCTTCCTTATTTTCACTGACCCTCTACCAAGCATGATGTCCTTCTCCAGGACCTAGTCTCTCCTGATAACATGTCCGAAGTGTATGAGACGAAGACTCACCATCCTCACTTCTAAGGAGCTTTCTGGCTATACTACTTCCAAGACAGATTTGTTCGTTCCTGGCAGTACGTAGTATATTCAGTATTCTTCGCCAACATCATAATTTAAAGGTGTCAGTTCTTCGGTCTTCCTTATTCATTGTCCAGCTTTCACATGCACGTGGGGTGATTGAAAATATCATGGCTTGGGTCAGGCACATGTTAGTCCTCAAGGTGACATTTTTGCTTTTTAACATTTTAAAAAGGTCTTCTGCAGCAGATATGCCTGTTGCATTACATTACTTGATTTCTTGACTGCTGCTCCCATGGGTGTTGATTGTGGATCCAAGTAAAATGAAATCCTGACGACTTCAATCTTTTTTCCATTTATCATGATGCCACTTATTGGTCCAGGTGTGAGGATTTTTGTTTTCTTTATGTT